AATATCAACCGCAACCATAAGCTAAAGGCCAAAAAGGAAGTTATCTCTTTAGAGCTACTTGTGTGTCTAATTGATACAGTTCAGAGAACATCTCAGCACACATTCCTCTCAGAACTAATGCAGACTATAGAAGAATGAGAACAAGAGACCAGAACCCTTAGCAAGAGACAACTTGTTCACAAAAACACGCCTGGACTGCGAGAAGTCATCAAGCAATGATGGCCATCAACCCACCCTTCCTGCAAAACAAAGGAAGAAGTCGGTCCAGTTCTGAAAAGTACATGGCTTAGCATTTTAGTTGTGTGCTTCTGGGAAAGCTATTTTCTCTCCCCCATGAGCTTCCCTCCAGGAGGATAAGGCCTGCTGTTGTTCAGAATACAAAGTCTGCTGGCCGCATTCTTGTGGCTCTAGGTGGCCCTAGAAGGAACTGCCTTGAAAGCTGATTTAGATTGGAAAAGGGTGAAGGGAGAGAAAAAGCAGTTCTTAAACCAAATGAACGCCCTTCAAAAGTCAACAATAAGCTTGAAAAAGTCTGGAGTTTGTTCCTGGCACTAACACATCTCCAGGCAACTTTAGGCACATACACTACTCAGCCAACTCGGCTAGGCCTAGCTGGCAGTGGACCCGAGAAAAGCCAAGTGTGAAAGCCATTAAGGGCTGTGAGTCAGACTCTGTCTGTAGGGGCTGGTGCAGAAGAACCATTTGCTTTGAGGGAGGGCAGCCAAGTGCAATGAGGGTGGGCTATAGAGTGTGTAGGAAAGCAAAGGAAAATCTGGCAGTGCTTGAAGAAAAGACAGAGAATAAGGGAAATAATCAACTGGCAAAATTATATAGAATACAAGGTTAAATATGAAAAATGAAAGAAAATGCCGAGTTTTGTTGTAGGCACCTGTTATTTACTAGAAATAGCAATATTTAAACTATTCTTTTGACCCTTCCCCCTTTGCCATGTTGAAGAAGCCTCTCAACTGGAAGAAGCAAAATAAGCTTTCACTCAAGAGAACGTAAACAGGTTCCATCTAGAGACAGCCAGAAGCACTGAGGTTAAAGGTAAAAGAGAATGAAAATTTCCCAGTTTCCTTGTAAAAGAAGACGTGGCTCACTGAGTCAATGAGATTTTTTATTAAAGAAATGGTATTTTTATGATGCTAAACCACCTGTTTTTTATTCTTTGTGTTATTGAGGTTAAAATGCACCTTGCCGAATTTCTCTTAGTGTTTTGAAACATGCTTCTGGCAATTTTGTTTGATTGGATGTAAGCCTCAGTGGGAACAGAGGCTTTTCTTAGTGCTGTATGGTTTCTGATTTTCTACAAAAGAATAGTTTATCTTAAAGGTTATCAACCCAAATCTATCTGATGTTTTCAGACAGGAAATTCTTTGCCATGAGAAGCCATTCTGCACATGGTAGAATGTTAGGGACTTTACCACCTAGACACCAACAGCAACCCTACTACCAGCAGCTATGAGTACCAAAAATGTCTCCACACACTGACAAACATCCTATGGGTGGCAAAGTCTTTCCCAGTTACCAACCACTGATTTATTTTGATGTTACTTATAGATAATATAAACTACTTAAAATTCACTATCTGAACCCTAGTAGAGTGATGTTGTGACTGTCTGTGCCCCTACCTGAGATCTGCTTGAGCTTTGTAACAAGAACCTGCCAAAAAAAAAAAAGAAATACAATAAAAAATACTTACCTTCTGATTACAAAATAAGCCAGGGTGCTTGTTTAATAAACGTCCTCATTAGACTGTTTCTAACAAAGTAATTGATGTTGGAATATACAAATAAAGGATGTCTTCAGCACCTAAAAAACGCTATGTTGATGATGGTGGTGGACAAGGAGGGGAGCAGAAGAAGGGGGAGAGAAAGGGCAAAGCAGAGAGGATCTCCAGGCCTGGTTCTCACTCAGCACCAGCTCAGAGCTTGTGAACAGGAGGGTGGAGCAGAAAGGAGCAGTCATGGCAGATAAAAGGATTTAACTGGGTTTTCATCAAAATTGACCTTGTCTTGTTCCAATTTTTTCCAGGTCTTCACTTTTAATACACACAGCCATCTTTGGTACCAGTTAACACTGACTTGTCCACACCCATCAGACAAATAGGATTTATTCCCAGGGAAGATGTAGAAAAGGAAGTGAGTGAAAATAAATAAATAAAACAGAACACGGCCGCTCTTAGATGTGGCAGAGGAGAAAGGTCACTGTAAAGGTCATTGTAGACCTGAGGAGAGCGCAGCCAGAGGCAGGGGCACCTGGGAGAGTCCACAGTGGACATGACCCTGAGCCAAGTGAGGAGGGGGGAGGGGAAGCAAGAGGGGCGAGGGGAACCAGGTACAGCAGCCAAGAGGCCCCAAAGAGGAGGGACAACCAAAATGCCTGTATTATATAGGGAAGAGCAGCCCAGCCAACTGGGCTGGAGACTTCAGTGTAGGGGGTGGGGTATGCAAGCCATTCCCTGCAACAGGTAGGGATTGAGGGAGGCTGGAGGAACCTGGCCAGGTCTGCTTTGATATGTTAAATAGGCACCTCAGCCTTTTGTCTCAGGATCTGAGGCAACATCCCAGCCTTTTATTGATAACATATAAATAAATTCAGGTGAAATATATAAATTCAGGTGAATGAAAAAAAAAGACAAAAGAAGGACATGACTGCTCCTAGGTATGAGGGAGGAGGAGGGTTTTTGTGGATGCACGGGAGAGCATAGCCAGAGGCAGAGACATCTGGAAGAGTACAGAGTTAAGGACCAGACTGAGTTAGGGCCCGTGAGCATCAAGGAGAGGAGCCACTGGCCAAACAGGCAGCCTGGCCAAGAGACTGACTGATAGAATACATGAAAAGGTTACGGTAAGCAAAATGGTCGGACTATATAGGGAAAAGCAGCTGTGGGGAGGGATGCAGGGAGAATCTGGCAGCCAGATCTGCTTTGACGTTTGGTGGCACCTTAGCTGGCCGTTGTCCCTGAGTTTGGAACTCAACAGGAAGATAGTATATTACTCACAGCCTTGGTAAAGCTTTCAAGTTCCTAATAGATCACCTAAAGCCAATGAAATTCACATCCATTGTGCATACAGATTCAATGAATACTTGGTTACGACACTCAATGAACAGTAAGCAGGCAGATGTTGATGAGCGTCTTTGCTGTGAACGCTGGAGAGGTCAAGAGGTAGCCACTGCCTTCCACTGTAGAGGGACAATGGAAGACTAGCAAAGGATGGACTGTCATCATGGCAGCCTTCTTTAAACCGAAACATTCTCTTGAGAGGTTAGGGGGAAACTCATGAGGTTCAGGAAGTAAACAAACATCATGTGCCGGGAAAAGCTGAAACATGGAAGATTCTGGAATGCCCATCAGCTTTACGAAAGCCCTCAACTACTGCTGTGAGAGGAGACTGCCAGCCCAGCTACACAGAGGCAATCTCTCAGACAAGTCATGCAGAGGACTCCAGGGATGCAGCTCTTAGTCAGCACCTGTGTTAAGGAGTCAGAATCTGTGCTAAGCACCTGTGTTTTTGTGATGCTTTTGAGTCCTCTGTGCTCCGGTAAGCAACTCCTCACACATAACTGCTGTTCACAACCACATAAAAACCCATTAGTTCACCAAGTTGGGCGTTGGAATAACCATTGCTTTTGCTAGTTTTGTGTTCCTTATCTGGGGTGAACAGGGGTGTGTGTGTGTGTGTGTTTTGCATATCCTCAGGAAAAGTCTTTCACACAACACCAAGGTAATTAAACTTATTTTGACATTAGTTTTATTCTTCCCATGATCTTTCTGCCAGACTAGACACCCTTCAGAGCTGTGTGCTTAAAATTGAACACCACCAACAGCAGGGCTCCCGTGAGAGGGAGGATATACCTACCGTTTATCTCCTTTACTCTCTTCTTCTTCCTCCTCTGCTTCTTTCTTCTTCTGTCCTGGAACTCACTCTGTAGACCAGACTGGCCTCGAACTCAGAGATCTGCCTGCCTCTGCCTCCCAAGTGCTGGGATTAAAAGTGTACACCATCACTACCTGACTAGAACCTCTCTTACATCACCGACCTTTTTAGGCAATTCTATCCGTGACTGCCTCTGTGTAGGAATTAACATGCACACTGCAGTTGCTTTCTAGAAAATGACTGTGGGTGCGTATGTTGTATGGTATGCATGCACTTGGTATGTGTGGTGCATGCACACACTGGGTGTTTTCCTTATTGCTCTCCACTTCATCACCTTCAGATAGGGTTTATTTAGGCTAGGCTGACTGGTGACTGTGTGAATCCTCCTGACTGCTCGCCACAGTGCTGGGTGGGTCATAACTACTCACCTTTCTGGCTCTTTACATGAATTCTGGGGATCTGAACTCAAACCCTTATGCTTGCAGACTCACTGGCACCCTTCGTAGTACTAACCCTTAAATACAGACTCCTTATGTGGTGACCCACAATGTAAAATCATTGTTGCTACTTCGTAGCTGTAATTTTGCTGTTATGCACTGTGTGGAAATATCTGTGTTTTCTGATGGTCTTAGGTGACCCCTGTGAAAGGGTCATTCAGTGTCCCCAAAGGGATTGTGACCCACAGGTTGAGACCCACTGCTAACAAGTTATTTTAACTCGTTTCCCTGGTAGCTGACCTAAGTTGCCTTTATCATGTATTTAATTCTATTTAATCTCTTTTTTCTATGACTTTCTGAATTATGGAGGCCACGACTTTCATCCTATTGCTGATATACTATAAAAATCAATTTAGCTCCAGCAGTTAAGTATATAATTTTCAAAATTATGGCCTTCCTTTGTATCTTCAGGATGATGGAACCATTCAATCAGCAATTACTGCTGTTACAGCAAGTGGTTTGGGAGACATTAGTGAACAAGAGTCAAAAATCCTTTATGAAGGTTGCATTTGGAATGAGGGGAGAGAGGTAACAAGCATAAATAGTTTCTATAAAATGTTAGGAGAGTTGGAAGAATAGAGACGTGCAGAGAAGTGACGGGAATGCAAAGCAGACTATATGGAGATTACAGGTATGTGCTATACCTGGCATTAGAATTTTATTTTGGGCTTGTACAAGCAGTAATAAGTAATAATGAAACATGACAAATGGAATATTCATGAGTCCAGTTTCAAGAGAAGGAGACATGAACTTGGGATGTCAGAACAAGGGTGTTTCATGATAATATTAGATAAGATTATAAGGGAATGTGTTCAGAGAGGACCGAGAGTTGTATTGGGAGGACTACAACGTCAGGAGTTGGGGACATTCAGAAGTGGAGCCACCAAGTATATTACATGCTGATACGCAAACACAAAGACCGAATAGTGTCCTCTAGATTTGCCATTCTTAGGGTGTACCTAAGGTGTTTCCTATCTCCATTCCTGAGCACAGCTTTGGGATACTACAGAGATGACATTTAGGGTCTGGGGGGAAGCTAGTGACAGAGATCACTACTCAGACCGCGCTACACTGCGGAGGGCCAGGTGCCAGGTGTTGACTGGGACGACTTGTTTTTTAAATAAAGACAAGCTCTCGCAGCCCAAGCTGACTTCACACTATGCAGTTGTCTCTGCCTTCAACTACTCCCTGATCACCTGTCTCTACGTCCTGAGTGCTGGAATTATGGGCAGATAACACCATGCCCAGCTCTGACTGGTACATTATTAAAATTAAGCGGCTTTTGTCCTCTTCCTCTCTCTGAAATGGACACCAGAGAGGTTAAACCTGAGTACCTAATCAATCATTTCCCGGCTCTTGACACTTGGTGCTGTACATTGAGAAATTCTTTCTAGATAGGTTTTACTTTTACTCCATGTATTTTAGTGGAAAATCAAGGACCAATGAAATTAGGGTGATTGTACACGCGTTTTGCTTTGAAGTTAAGTCAACAGGATATACATACTGAACAACCCAAAGTGCTTACTTTTCATTTTCTACAAAATGGTTTATTTTGCTGTTTACTTTGGAGAGGCTACAAACACATTCCACATGAACACAAAGACTGAACTTTGTAGCACTGTAAAACAGAAATGGCCACGAGGAATTGAGAAGTCAGGGAAACGGGTGTGGCACCTACATTTGCTCATCTCCCATCATACCCCTTAAATGTCAAAGGCACTTGCCGAAATGGTTAAATTAGGGATTGTGGGAAGTAAAATAATGACATACAACTAAGACATAAAATCAATACTGAATTTTCTTATTGCTAACATTTTACTAAATCCTTAGACATATGCAATTTACAGCTTTAAAATAATGTGATTTTACTTTATAAACTTTTCAAGTGAAAAGAAGCTAATGCAACACTGTAAAACTAGAATTTTTCTATACTCAATTATAACAAGAACATGTTTATCTCTAGGTAATCACCTAGATCACTCATGACACCTCTCAAAACACACTGGGAATCAGCTCTCACACCCACACGGTGTGACTTCTTAAGCACAGCCTTCTCTCCCCTCACGTTTGTCTAGCATCTGCCAGAGAGCTGCAGTGCTGAGAGACAACAGGGCGGCATAGTCCTTGCTCTACAAGCTTACAATTATTCCAACTGGATTAGCAATGTTTTTATTTTCAGCCCTACTCACTTGTTCTAAGAAGCTTTGCAAAATAAAACAAGAGCCAGAATAAAAGTGTGTTCCCATCCCTTATTCTACTTGACATAGGAAAATAAATATCCAAGTAAGACTAACACCAGGCTGAAAGAGAAGACCCATCTGCACATGGTGGTGCCTCCGTGTTCTCAGCTACTTGTGAGGCTAAGTTAGAAAGATTACTTGAGCCCAGGAATTTTTCTTTGATGAAAAAGAAAAAGGCTGCAGGGCATGGTGGCACACCTTTAATTCCAGCACCGAGGAGGCAGAGGCTGGTGGCTCTCTATGACTTTGAGGCCAACGTGGGTCACATAGTCTCAAAAACAAGACAAACAAAAATAGGCTCAAACTCTTGTCAGTCTAAGGGAGGGTGGCATTTGTATGGACTAAGATGGCCCCTTTCTGCTCCTTCTGACTCACTGTCTTTACACTGTTTTATGGCAACTGCCTTCCCAAAACGTATTTAGATGGGCTCAGTTCTTACTACCACTCATGGAAAAGTAAAAATGATTCCAGTAACATTTCTATGTGAAAACACAAAATCTGATTGATAGTACAGTCCCTAGCTTAGTAACACTCTGACTCAATACAACTAACGACATTTGTGTTCAATGTGGAAAAGACTTCTCGCGTATTTTCTAACCACAAAGTATTTACAAGACAAGTCTGTTTGGATTACAGTGCTAACAGGACAGAGACCACGTGGAAGTGGTAAGGAAAGACTTCAAGCAACTTCCATGTCTGGGCCTCAGCCTGTGTGTATGTATTTACAGGGTACCCACATGCTACACAGAACAGCAAGGTGTCAACTCTGCCATTAAAGCGCCAACAGTACTTTCTAATGCAGAGCCCAGAGATGAACTGTAAGGACACCTGATGTGTACTACCCTTTCTCCACCTTAAACAGTGTTCCATCATCAATTCTGGACCTTCTCTTAATCAATAAATGTCCCAGTTTATACAATTTTGGGACAATTTCCAAAGGGTTTTGTTATGACAATGGAATCAAAGACCACAGGCATCACTGAGTTCTGATCAGGAGGAAGAGCCCACTCATCACAAACTGTTGCAAGGAAGAGGCATCTGTTACAGACAAACCACAAGGGCACGCTTCAGGCATAGAAGTCATGACCTGATTTCACTGGGCATCAACTAACATTAGCAAAGCTACTTGAATTTTTCTGTTGATCTTCACAGGTGTTAAGTAATGATAGTTTTGATGGTGGTAAAACTTCATTTTTTCAAGTGCAGGATGATCTGAACTGGATGAGAAAAAGAATGATTAAGGAGGGAATGGAGGCAGGCCTGGCATCAAATTCAACAACCATTTCTCTTCTATTTTTTTCTTGTTTGTTTTTTTGGAGACAGGTTCTTACTCTGTAGCCCAGACTAGTCCAGAACACACTATGAAGCCCAGGATGGCTTCACAATCATGGCAACCCTCCTGCTTCAGTGTTCACAGAGCAAGGATTAGGGTGTAAGCTGCCACACCTGGCTCTCTGTAGCTTCTTATTGAAGGAACACCCATATTTCCAGTATTTCATATAATGCCATAAACATGCCAGTCACTTTTGGGTCTCAGGATTATGTAAGATCAGAAAAGATAAAACAATAAATAAACTGAGTGAGGTCATCATACGCCAACAGGGTTTCCTCAGCAGTAACAAATTTAAACACAAACAACTACACATATAAAGTCATGCAATCTAAACTTTTTATATTTGATGTTTAAAATAATTTCATAATTCTATTTTTTTAAAAAATAATTATTTCCTTAAAAGTGGTACACTTTATTAAAAGAAGCACTGGAAATATGGAATCTTTTTTTTTTAAAAAAAGAAAACTTCATCTTTACTAACAGACACTGAGTGAAACTAGACTTCTACACTAATCAGTGGAAAGCTAATGACTTAGAATCTAGTTACAATCCAAACACAAGGCAAACACACTAGGACCAACTCTGTTGATTCAAATAAAACATTTCCATCCCTGAACTACAAGCTGCTGAGACTTGGCCCATCGTTTCCAAAAGGGTTTATCATCAGTTCAGATGCTGTGCACATGAACTAACAGAGTGAAGATGTCAGAGTCAACTTTCCATAATATGCAAGACATTGTAGAGTCAGCAGTTATAGCTAGACCCTGCAAGTGTCGAGGATATCACTTAACCTGGCTTTTGCCTTTCAAGTTTCTTTCCATTAAAAACATTCTTATCTGTTAGTACTATCCACTGTAGAATTAAACAAAGAAAATCCAAATTGTTTTATACATTTTGAATTAAAATGATCACACAGTAGTATCTGTTACACATGACCATACCCTACCCCCAAACACTGACAAATCCTGTGAACTCTATTTCTCGCTTAAGACGTCCATGTGAAGAAGTTCCCACAGTCTCCAATTTGATTATCATGCCTTTCTCCTCTTACACTCGGGATGTATTTTCACATTGACTTTTTAAAACAACATTAAGGGGTTGGCGCTCTTTACAATGAACATATCTTGGTATACCCTGAACACTGTGACTGACTAATCTGTACAGACGATCTATGCTCCTGCAGTTTGCTATTCACTGCCACTGGAAGTTTGGACACGTGACTGTGCAACATCTATGTCCCCCAAAGCATCAGAGAACACACCAAGAGCATCGGAGAAACATGACAGTCAAAGCAGAAGACTATGCTCTTCTGGCACAGGCTAGTTAAACTTAAAGAGGGAAAACTATTAACAAATTAAATCAAAGAAAAATTACCTGCAGATTGCACTTACTCACATGACAATTAGTCCCTTTTTATTGTAGTTTAACTGACAATCGACTGGACCAAGACTGGGCGCTACATACTGCTCATTTTCAGACACTCCAATGACATTCTCCAGTACTTTTATTATCTCCAGTTTTATGGTACCATATTATGCTTTTCACACTGTTTAAATTTCCCATTTTCAAAATGCAAATACCAAAAAAATTACCACGTATTCCCTTATACAGTCAGAATAGGTTTACTGGAATGTTTCAGGTAGAGCTGAAGGCAGAACATTACAACACATAGCTTTTGTTAATCCATAACTGTGGAAATGACCTGCAAAGCAACTACAATATGAGAAGAATGACATTCTTGCAAATACTGATGGGATGGTTATGAATCTCCTTCAGCATGGGAGTCAGGACTCTACACAGGCTTCCTGACCACCAGTTTGACCCTCACTTTAAGGTATTAATAAACATTTTTAATGCCACTAAAACACAAGTATGGGATATTGTCATCAGTGTTTAACTATATATACATATAACAAACTGGCAAGTATCTAGTTTCAAATTAGATCCTTGGAATAAAGCAAAATAGAGATATCTTTGTCTTAAATATAATTATTCAAAACACATTTTGCTAGTTGAGAAGAACATAATTGGATATTCTCAATGCTCCAATTTGAAGTGGTACTTGCCTTTTAGTTTCTTGAAAAAGAAAAATTGAAAGTTTTATATACATAGGTTTCATTTAAATTATGCAGCAATCTTTAATTATTATTGTCCCAGATCTTGTTTAATGAGGATCTCTGTCATCAAATCAAGTACGGTTTTTCACAACTATAAGAACTGTAAGAGAAGAAAGTAAAACAAAAAAAGAAAAAGAAAAAGAATGCATCAAAATCAGAACCAATAACAGCTAGGTCAGAAGCACAATCCCTAAGTGTGGGTATCGGCCATTGTTAGAGAGGAGAGACCTCGGCCAAACCTTGATTTGAGAGAACAGTTATGAAATACGAACAACGCAAGTCTCTAACACTGGCCTAGTGAGCGAACGACTGCGGCAAAACAGTAGCCCATAGCTAATAAATTATTACAATATTTAACAATGTGGGAAAATAATTAATAAAATATTTATTGGAAAATGTCTGATACAATCTCAGCTTTTGAAAATCATGCTTACATTCCAAGAGGAAAAGACTAAAAGCATATAAAATGTCATACTAACAGCAGCTACGGTAGTGTAGTGAGAGTGCAATTGAACTTTATAGTTCTTTTTATGCTAGTCTCTATATATTTGCATGGTGCCCACTATTTATTGTAGGTTCTTGTTGTCTGAGATAATTATATTCTACAAAGTTAACATGAACTGGTGACTCCTGAACCACTACACATAGGGAAAATACAGGGTTAAGTTCCCATGAGTCCCTGGCTACTCCACTTTAGTCAATAAATTAACACATAATTTTGCTTTATGTGTGCTTCTATTGAAAGACACCTTGTTTAACAGATATCATTAATTAAAAAATTACAATGAAGTCAAGGCCAGCAGCACTGTAGCTCATCCCTGAATATGCTCGAGTATTTTCTATGAAGGTGTATCATAGCATTTAGTAAGAGGGATAGCATTTCTAGACCATTTGTGAGGTCCATTTCAAACCACGAAGTCAGCAGAACTGTGGACCAACAAGTCTATGAAAGGACACTTGGTTATGCAATGAAAGCTGAACTAAGAAGGCAGACTTCCATTTAACCCCAGCTGGAGACCTATGGGTCAAGGGAGTCAAAATTCTCCGTGCTCTGAATGACCACAGAAGTAGCATGAGCAATAACATGGTTAATCAAATGGTTACAAATACACTTCAGCTACTAAGCAAATCCACACAGCAGCACCCAGGTAATGAGAATGTATTACAGTTCTTTGTTAGTTCTTTATAACACCTTTTAAGTTTAAAAAATATTCTTATAAAAATTTCAATTTTTTGAGACTTTAATTCTTCACAAAAATCTCTGTAAATATTAGAGATCTTGAAGAAAGGTACTTATAAAAAATAGTCTAACTTTGAAAAAATACTAAGAAAAAAAACAGAATGAGTTATGCTTTCAGAACTAAAACTAAGCTCAAATCTACAAACATACTTACAAAATCATCTAGAGAAATTAACTGAGTTTGCCTCCTGATCACAACAGTAAACAAAAAATTATTTTGTCCTAAGTCTAACAGATACCAGATTTCGCCTTACACAAATGGTTGAGCCCCATGCTGTGACTGGGGTGTGCTGAGGAGCAGGAGGAGGAGTGCCCTTTGAGAATCTAGCAAAGGATACAGACCCCCACAGAAATGCAAACATTCATAGTCACACAGACTTCAGACATTGTCAAAGCAGTCTTCAGAGACTGAGAGTCTAGGTAAAGGCTCCCTTCTTATTCAAGGCACATGTCAATACTCAACGCTTGCATTACATACATTAGGTCAACTGAAATGAAAAGGATAAAAATGATCTTAAAATAAAACTCTAGCCAGAGGCCAGCCTGGGCTACACAGTAGCATTTCGGACAGCCTGGGCTACATAGTGAGATTATGTCTCTGAAAAAAAAAATGAACACCCAATCAAATCCTAAGCCTTACAAAACATAATACCCCAAGAAACAATGATCCAAGAAATACTTACTGATAATCATTAGCAAAAGGATAGCTGCGGCCAAAGCCATGACGGCTTTTATCTGGAACACACAAAAAGGCAAATGAAATTCGACTGTTAATAAAGACAAGACTCTTTGCCTGCTATTTATTTACTTCCCTACCTCATCTATTAACAGGCACACTCCTTGCAGGGTTTCCAATTCGCTGTTTCTCACATGAACTTGATGGATGTCTTGTATATTTATATAAATAATTGAAGTTCCCCCAAATGTGAGGTTTGCCCTGGAGGATGTCCCCATCTAAGGATGTACTGCACAGCAGGCAGTCACAATCGGAGCCTTCTCAGGGTGGCCACTTCGATGTGAGACCCAAAACTGTAGTTTTAGCAATTCTGGTCAGGACTGGATAAAAACACCGGCAGCCAGTAGTCCATTATTATTTTATGTACAATGGTCCTTCCTCTCTTCTGTGGGAGGTTACGTGCCCTCACCCCATGAATGCCTTAAACCATGGATGATATCAAATCCTCTATGTGTAGTTTCCCTGTAGAGGCATACCTATGATAATCTGATAAACTAAAAAGGATAGACTAATAACCAACAATAAAATGGAACACATGTATAATAAAGTAAAATGAATTTGGTGTTTCTCTTCCAAGAGCCAAGACCAATTTAGGTTTCTCTAACCTCAGCTCACTGTGCATAACCAATGCATAGGCATCACTGCAGTTTCTCCAAGTGCATGAGGATCCTGTCAGTTGTTTCCATACTGTGCTTTCACCCCTTCACGACGTTGTAATGTCCATGCTAAGGCCTATACTTTAGATTCTCTATAAATAACAACACTTAACTAAGAGTACTGTGTCCAATTCCACTTAGGAAGAGAAGCCTGAAGATCATTTCTAAGTCCACAGCTTGATATTTTGCTATCTTTCTATATAAAAATATCACAATCATAATTTTGTTTTTTAAGTGCACGCATTAAACTAGTTTCATTTCCTTGATGTATCAAAGTCTCACTTTCATCAAACATTTTCATATAGTTAAAAACTCATGACTTTAATCTCAACACTTGGGAGACAGAGGCAGGTGGATCTCTTTGAGTTCAAGGTTTACAGAGTGAGTTAGGCCAGCCGGCTTTTTTTGGGGGGGGTACTCAAAAGATCAATAAGTGCATAAGTAGATAAGTATATAAAATGCATTAGACAGTGAAAATGTAAAGTCCCGAGTGAGGTGACAAAGCTTCAGAGTGGCTATTCTAATTGTGTAGGCCACTGAGATGTACTGGTTAACTTCAGTGTGTGATTTCTTTTTCTTTTTTTTTTTTAATTTCCAAGATTTTTATAATAAGGTTCATTTCAAAAATCAAAAAAATCAGTATTTCCAATATAATAAAGAGATGTTTCATAAATGACAATTATACATAGAAACAGGAATTAGTTAAACATTTTAAAAACAGAATGACTGCTAACCCTTCATGACATCACAACTGTGGCACCAACAAAGTGACCCAAGAAATACACAGAAAGCTTTGCAATTTGGATCTAAAAGTCTTTAATTACAATAACTTAAAAATGTAAAAATAGTCTTGAACCTGGGCTTAGATTATGCTAAAGGGCTTTTATTATACTAAAAGGTACTTACATCCTTTATTTAACCTGAAAATATTTTTTTAAATCATATGGAATTTAATGGTAGCTTTCTTACCTTTCCCAAAACACATATTAATTTGTCTATTAATATAAAGTTAACTAAGTTTAACTTTACAAAATTTATATGGAAAAACCAACAAAACTTAAAAACATTTTACTGAATAGAATTTTCTTCCTAGGCTTCCAATTTGGGGCAAGAAGTATCTAAAACCATCATAACCAGATACGTTTTCATCACTGGTCCCCAAAGCTCCCTCATAACCAACTGCACAGCCTACAACCTTTCAGGCACTGGCAACTTCTGATGTCTTCAGTGTCTATCTCCCTTTCCAAAACAGCCTTCCTAAATCACTGCCATCAGTCAACCCAGGAAGTGGGGGCGTGGAACTGTCCCAGGGGACAGGAGCAGCGGTGCTAGGAGAGGAGGAGGCGGGAGAGAAGGTGAGGAGAATACTGCTGCTTTCGATGGTCTCTGCTAAGTTACACGACAAGGCTGTTCACTGCGTTCTTGGTGCTACAGTGGGCTACAGAGTTAACTGAGTCTGAGTCTGTTTAAAACAACAATCCTGTATATTTAAAACTCTCTTTAAAAACAGAGCAGGAGGCGGAGAAGAAATTAAAGAAAATACAAAATTTATTCTCTGAAGAAAACAAAAATAAATAGAAAAAAGTTCTATATGAGGGGAGCAATGAAATTTGTCTTTCCTCTTCTTACTTCGGGAAAGAGGACATTTAACAGATAAACAGATAAAACTTGGTAAATCCAAGACATCTTTTGGAAGAAATCCTTAACATATGGCAAATTTGGGTTTAAAAAATTATTGTTGAATCCTAAAATGAGGGTTTAAAAACAATGAGCCCATGTTTAAGGATTTTGGTGAAATAAAAACACATCCTAGACTCGAGAGGAACAAAGAAAGATTTGCTCTCATAACATGAAATTTCTATAAAATGTTAAAAGGTATTTGTTTCATGCTTGGTCATACTTGATTTAAGAGGCAAATTCATTTCTGAAGGATATTAGTGTATAGTGAATCCATTTGTTCTTACTAAAATTTTTCTTTTATTTATTTTGTTGAAATAATGAAGGAATAAAATGGGACTTTTTCCTTATCTTTTTGTTAGCAGAGTTTCTGGCATACAAACTACTTCTAGGAGAAAAAAAAATCATACTTCTCTCCAGGCTTCATTTTATTAAAAAAAAAAAAAAAGAAAACTAAAAATAAAAAACAAACCTCTCTGTATATCACCAAAAGTGCTAGGAAGAAGTGCTGTTAAGAAGGGCAGATGTACGTCACTGGGCGTCCAAACGTTGGACCACTGGGAAACGAGGGCACCTTCACAGAGAGCTGGGAGGCATCAGACAGTGCTTGGTTCCTCTAGTTACTCTTCCATGTCCAAGGCTGAGGAAATCTCCCAATAAGCAAAGCAGTTACAGCGTTGGTTCTCACTGAGCTCAGAGACTAGTGGCCCCTTCTCCTCAAATCTTTCTCTGCTTCCCAGCCCCACCTTCTCCTTTACTTACTTTGCATCCACGCCACCACATCTGCCTTCGGAGCTGTTTAGATCTGTTGCTGAATGCAGTTGCATTATCCGATAAGCTTTCTGTATCACACAGAGGGTGGAGAGTTAGATTAAATGACACAACTATTTTATCTAGTCACACGAAGACAAAAAACCATCAATTTCTACTTTTTAAATTCTCCCCCCCACACACACATTTCATTAGTCTATATTGAAAAAAACAAAAGCAAAACACAATGGAAGGTCAGTTGGTTCAAAGAATTTCGGTAAGAAAATAGAGATTAAAAAGAATAGTGGAGGATGCAAGATGGACACTACGCCTGATAACCTGAGTTTGATACACAGGGTCCCACATGATGGAAGGAGAGAGCCAAGACCCTAGGCTCCACACGTTCATCATTGTTTGTGTGCTCCAATTCACGCACATGCACACAAATTAATGTAATAACAGTTTTTTAAAACACTAGGGGCTGTGGTTGTTGCTCTTGGACCAATGCCTGATAGTACACATTAGATGCCAACACCGGAAACAAAACAAATACTTTGGCACAACGCTAGAAAAAATTTGCACACAGAGAAAATTAAATTTTTAGGAAACAAGGACAACTAATTTAGAGTGAAAAGAAAAAGTAATCAAGCAAGTTTCTGGTTGGGCAAGTCTATCAAGAATGAATCTGGCATGCAGCCACTCACCATTCAAACAGCATGAATGGCTAATATGTGCCAAAAACCATTACAGGCTCAAAGGCTAACAGCTGCCTGTAAACAAAAGTTGCTAAGTATTCAGGAAAGCTGAAGTCATCATTCAAACAATACTGCAAGTCCAGATATGTGCTGGGAATCATTATAGACACAGACACTAAAACCTATCAGTAAAGAAAACTCCCTAATTACGAGAGAATATATAAAAACCACAAAACATATCAACATTAACAGGGCAAGAGAAAAGAGGGGATTTAACTTTTTGGCAATGCAGTTTTAAATTCTCCATTCTTAACTGAGTAAGAAGGAAATATAGTAAGACCATTCACATTAGTGGGCAGAAACTAAGCATGGACATGAGTCTTAAGAATTGAATGTTGACTTCCTAAGCATCAGCGAGACAAAGGAAAGGTATGTATCAATTACACTCATGTTCATAATATCAAGAGATACGGAAAGAAGGCAGCGGCTGTACCTGATTTGTCCTGCAGTTCATCTAGCCGCTCTCCTCGCTCAATGACCTTTGTAATATTTTCTTGCATTACATCAATGACTTCATCCACCTGATTCTGAACACTAGTTTGAAAGAGATGAGATTTATTCTTCCTTTAGGGATACGCACACTGTTAGAACTATGTTTACTATGTGGCAAATTCTCAGAGAACTATAGTTTGCCATTCAACTCTAAAGCAATGTCTTTCCATTTTTGGCCTGAGTTCTCAATTAAGGATTAAGGATACACATTAAGGTAATATTTAACTGAAAGCTTATTTTTAGTCTTGATTCTATCTTGACTATATCTCATAAGCAAATCGAACATTGACAGAATGCTCAGTGTGACTCAGTGTTTCATTTTCTTTTTAATAGACTGTTGAAACAGCAGGCAAACCCAATAGTCATAACCTACCCTTCTTTGCAATGCATTTCAACCATAAATGACTTACCAGGGTGTCTGGCCAGGTTTACTGGGGTAATAAAAACTACCATTTCTACAATGGAAACATCCAGCACACTTTATGGGGCACTGGGTACACCCAACGGCCATTATTCTTCACCGATCATTAGTTTTCCCTTAAGTATAAGTAAGATTCAAGACCACCTGGAATACCCAGGAATATTTGGAAACACCACCAAAAGGCAAAAGTGAAAAACAATTAGTATAGTGATATTTTATTTGTGTCTTAATAAATAAAGTTTTCTGAAAATCAGAGGGCAGAGCTAAACCACTGGAGGCCAAGGAGTGGTGGCACAACTCTTTAAACCTAGGACTCAAGGCCACCCTGGGCTACACGAGATTGAATCTGTCTAAAAGAGTAACAGAGCCCACACAAAGGTGATCCCAGCACTTGGGATCCCAGCACTAGGGAGGTGGAGACAGCAGCGATTATGGCTGGGTGGAGAGAGGAATATAAGATAGGAGACAGGAGCCCAGTGCAGTCTGAGGTTTGGTGGAGAGCACTGCAGTCTGCAGTAATGTTGAGGACAGGATATTTGTTTTTCTGAGCTTTGGTAGAGGTAAGAACTCTCTAGTGGCTTGGCTGCTTTGATTTTCTGATCTTCAACTTGAACCCCAATATCTGCTTCTGGATTTTTATTGGTCGTGCTACAATACAGTCTTTCAAAATGAAAATGGTTTTCTTTTTTATGAGATGGGAGACCTCTAATCAAACTTCAGACTATCCATTGCAAACTGAGCAAACTTCAGAATTAGTCAAACGGCCCTCACCGACTACTGTCACTTAGGAGCTTCCTCCAAAGCATAAAAACACAGACATGCTTAATTGATTGTCCTGCATCCCTCTGATGCTCTAACCACAGATAAGAACCTATCTGAAATTTATATAATAAACCTTGACAATGAAACATCTAAAAAGAGAAAGAGAACTTCTGGTCCTTAAAACTCAAAAAAGCACAATGATTATTAGCAACTATACATACACAGAAACCGTCTTGAGTTTCCAAGTAGTCATTTGTATGTCACACAAGTGTCAACTAGCAGGACAGAGATGAAATGTCTTACGGCTGCTACGCACACCCAGATTACAGCTATTATGGATATTAATGTGCCATATTTTCATGATTGTAAAATAAACTCAAAAGGCTCAAAACTCCTAGGTTTCGCTGGGACATCTCCATACACAGTGTACCTTGAGTATCTCCATCCCCTCTCCTGCCCGTTTCTTACCCTCTTTCCACGTTTTCCCATTCCACACCCTCCTACCTGTGGCCTTTTAACCCCCCTTCCCCGCCACACTCCACACGGGAGGAAACGTGTGGCCCTTGTCTTTAGGAGGCCAGATTACTTCACTTAACATGATACTCTCCACTCTCCAGTGCCTCCCATTTTTCTGTTTGCTGATGGGCACCTCAGCTGATTTCATAACTTTTCTATTATGAATGCATGATGAAAGGGTACTGCATACACCCCTAAAGTGAGCTGCCTTTGACTATTTGGGGGGGGATTCATACCCAGCAGCACTGGATATGATACACTAGAACATATGACATTCAATTTTTATTTTTTTTTTTTTTTGAGACAGGGTTTCTCTGTAGCTTTGGAGCCTGTCCTGGAACTAGCTCTTGTAGATCAGGCTGGCCTGCCTCTGCCTCCCGAGTGCTGGGATTAAAGGCATGTGCCACCACTGCCCGGCTTCAATTTTTAATTTTTAAAGAAGTTTTTAGAGATAGTATTTTAGACAGTCCAAGCTTGCCTCAAACTCAACAAGTATGTGGCTGCGGACAATCTGACCTCCTGATCCTCCTGTCCCCACCTGCCAAGTACCGGGTTACAGGTGGGTACCAGATAATTAGGATTATTTTTAACTTTTTTCCCAAGAACCTCTGCACTGATCTCTATATTGGATGAACTAATTTATGTTTCTAGCAGCAGGATTCCCCTGAAACCTCTCAAACATTTGTTGTTTCTTTTCCTTAACAGCATTCAGACGAGGGTGAGGTGAAATCTTAATGTGGTCTAAATCTGCACTTCCCTGGCTGAAGATGGTGTACATCTTGTCAGATAGCTGGCCACTGTAGTTCTTCATGGTGTCCTTTATTAACTAGATTGCTTGCTCTTTGGCTGCTCAGCTCTTTGTTCACTGTGGACACTAACACAGGGCTGCGTGAGCAGATTCCAGAGGCTCTCTCCACTCTGCCCTTTGGCTACACAGAAACTTTGTAATATACTAGAGTGCCACTTGTCAAATCTTGCTCCGCACATGTTTCTACCATGTGGTTTCTAGTAGCTTCAAAGTTTCAGTCTTACACCAAAGTCTTTAGGCCCATTTTTGAACTGACTTTTGTGCATAATGGAAGAAAGGAATCTAGTCTCAGTCTTCCACGGGTGGTGGTGGTGCACACCTTTAATCCCAGCACTCAGGAGGCAGAACAGATGGATCTCCGTGAGTTCCAGGACAGCCTGGTCTACAGAGTGAGTTCCAGGGCAGCCAAAGATACAAGAGAAATCTTGTCTTAAAAAACAAAACAACAAACAAACAAAAATTATGTTGTCACACATACACATTCTTTCTTATAAAGAAAATACTATTTTTTCCATTAACAAACCCATCTTGCCTTTTAAAGTACTGTTGACAAAGAGGGTTTGTCATTTTAAATTGTGTTTTCATTCGTTCATTCATTCATTGTGTGTGTGTGTGTGTGTGTGTGTGTGTGTGTGTGTGTGTGTGCAGTAGTCAGTTCTCTTGCAATTCCTCCATGTGGATATCAAGAATTGAACTCAGCTTCTCAGGCATGGAGGCAGATACCCTTTCCTGCTGAGCCAACTTGGTGGTCCCAACAAAGAAGTTTTAAAACTACGTTGTACTCTTTACAACTGCATATATATGCCATTATATCATGGGAAATCCTTGGGTGCCTTATAAAGTCTGAACTGGTTGGACTAAGTTGATAGCAGATTGCTCATCTGTGACAGAAAGTATCTAAAATTATCAAAGTAGCATTTAAGATGCTATAATTAAACTTAAAAGCAGAGGAAACATTCCAATAAAAGTTATAAGCTTTTGTAAAACTGATGGTCTAAGTCAGTAATTTCAGCAAGGAGGTAGAAGTAGGAGTGTCTCAAGTTCAAGATCTGCCTGGTCAACTCAGAAAGACCCTGTTTTAAATAGGATTTTAGAAAGACTGGTGGTGTAGCTCAGAGGTAGAGCTCTTGTCTAGTATGCATGAGACTCTGGGCTCAAGCCCTGGGATTGAAAAAAGAGAAAATGACACAATAAATAATTTTACAGAAGCAAGTAAATAAAGAGTATTTCTCAAAAATGTCTCCTAAAAAGTGTTGTAGATATTTTTTTATTAATCTATAACCAACTTAAACAATTACCGGCCAATTAAACTCCAACAAAGCAACAATATTGCTGATCTAAAATGCTGAGAAATACTCCATTTAATTATTATAAATTAAGTGGCAATAATGCATCTTAGTTAGATAAAATGACTGATTCGGTGTGTTAGACTAAGGTCAGGGAGTTTTCCTCAAGCATGTGGCAGGGAAAGCTGTGTTTGCCATCTTGTACACACTGGTGAGTCATGTTATCTTAGAGCTCATGAGGCGGGGCCATCAATTTTCAGTTTGCTCCTCGATGACTGACTTCCAGCTGAATCTGGCAGCCTTTAGCTCTGTGAGTAAGAATTGCTACATCAGTTAATAGTTCTTTTTTTATTAAAAATTCTGTGATTGTCAAAGTCACAGTAATAATGCCATTTGTATGTATGTGTATGTCTCAAAAGTCACAAAAGGCCATATTCTACATTAGATTCACTCTGTAGAAGCATTTTAGACAGGAAATAAAGCATACTGGCAGGATAAAAGAACAATAACAAAACCCAGAAGTATCATCAATAGATTCTTCTGCTCCAGTGACACCTTGGATATTAAAAGATGGACAGAGTCACTCTGACTCAACAGTGACACACTGACACCTGTGCAGGCATACTCATGCAGAATGCCCTGGGAATCCACTGGAGCTTGAGACAGTGAGCAGCTTGTGAGGCCCGTTTCACTCCACTACATGTGGACCATCATTAGACAGCTTCTTAAAACTCCCAGGTACTGATGAGCTATGCAGTTTCTGCAGGCTACAGACTATAAAACCACTTAGCTGCAGTCTAAGCAACAATTCTTTTGTATCACAGTATTCTACAATTGTTACTGAAGTTACTGGCCCCACTGGGTATTAAAGCTGAAGTGTGAGACGATGGTGCAGGAAGCTAGCACCTTTGGCTACTCTTCCTTTTTCCACACAATATGAATCTAAAAGCAGCTTGTATTATGATGGCAAGGAATGCAGGCATGTGCCACCATGCTCGCCTAACAAACATTTTCTATACAGGACAACAGAGCAGAAATCTTAGCTTTTATGGGCTCTGTGATCTCTGTGCCATAAATACTCAACATTGCTGTTGGAGCTCAAAAACAGCTATAGATAATATGGAAACAGATGGATACAGTTTGTGTTCTAATAATAAAAAAGCTTGTTTATAAAAACAACAGCCACATCTGATAGCCCTGGTCCACAGAAAACTATAACAATAATTTAAATGAATGAGCATCTAGGAACTTACTGTTTAATTTTATCATTTCTAGGCCCAAATCTTGGTCCAGATGGTCCCCGTCTGAAAATAAAATACCCAGTTCATGTTAGTAATGACAATATCACACAAATATGAAAACAAGAAACACATCTATGTGAGCGATCAAGCTGGATTCTAAATATGGATCATCATTAATCATACATAGCTGCATTTTACAGAACTTGGTAGAAATGAATCCTTCATAATCATGTATCTACTTCATGGTATACACTGTTGGCCATAATCTAATTCTTCCAAGTGGTAAAACCTCCTGAGAAAGTCCAGAGTACATAATCCTAATCTTTAGTGATAATTTTCCTACACATTGAACTCTGAAATGTCATACCAACTAAACTGTCATTGACTATGACTATCTTTGTAGTCAATTCTAGGACTGAAATTGCAACTTACTTTGAATTTACTCAAAATTAAAAATTTGAAGTCTATTTTTAAATACCCTTCTTACAGATATGTACACAGCAAGAAGAAAATGCAAGAGCACAAGAAAGCATTTAAAAGTCTCAAGTTATTACTATTATCTCTTGTTACAGTCAAGGGTATAACACCTTGATCCATCCACTTCAGTGCTCTAAGGATAGGAGCTTCAGGGTATTTTGTTAAAATTTTTCAGAATATAGAGAAGGTTTCAACTACAAAACTCAAAAAAAAACCAAAAAACAAAACAACCCAAGGTTCTTAATTTTTAGACACAGAACTCTCTAAAGGAAGGGAAAATATACATTTCTAAGAAAACATATTTAGAGGAAAAAAATTAAACTATTCATTAAAACAATATCATCTACAAGTATTAGAATATCACCTTGCCTTAACTTCTGTAAGCTTTTCCCTCTTGGTCTTCAGAGCTCCAACTCAGTACTTAGAACTCTGTATAGCAATCTATCCCAAATGACAGATCAGAGCACTGTTTCTTATTCTGAACCAGGTAATTATGAATAAATCCAGAAACAAGCATGAAAAATCAGTGATTAAATAAGGATGCCACAGATGAGACAGTTACCTAAAAACCATTAGGTTAAAACATTCCAAAAGCTGGGTGTGGTGGTGCACACCCTTAATCCAGGAACTTGGGAGGCAGAGGCAGGCAGATCTCTGTGAGTTCGAGGCCATCCTGGTCTATCAATTGAGTTCCAAGACAGCCAGAGCTGTTACATAGAGATGTCTCAAAAAACAAACAAAAACAAAAAACAAAGAACAAACTCAAAAACATATTAAAACTACTATAGTGACATTGTTTCTTCAATATAATATTTATGATATAAGAAATATGGGAGGAAAGGAAGAGGGAAGAGAGGGACAAGGAAAGGGAGGGAAAGAGTGAGAATGAGAAACAGAAGAAGTGACAGACAGATAAAGAGATGCACAGTGGCACACATCTCTAATCTTAGCATTTGGGAAACAAAGGCAAGGTGATGGTTGACTTTGTGGCTAGCCAGGGATACAGTGTGAGAGCCTGTTGGAAGGATGGGACAGAGGAAAGATATATAAAAAATTGTTTTCAGTTAAATCAAAGCTTTAGTCGTGGTGTGGCCACTTTAGAAGACAGATATGAATGTGCACCAGCCTTCATGCCCAGGGATTTACCCAAGAGAAATTAAGGCATGTGTCCTCATAAATACCCACACACAAACATTTACAAGAAATTTGTTTTAGTAAAAAACTATAAACCACCAAACATCCACATCCATGTGAATGGATAAATGGATTGTAGTATATCCACACAAGGGAAACGACTCAGCAAAACAACCCACCTGCGGTTCCACATTGAGTCAAAGTGAACAGGTATGGCAAATGGAGTGAGTTGAGAAAAAAAAAAAGGGTGTCATGTGGCTTCGCTTATATAAAACTCCAGGGAACAGAAACTGTGGTGACGGAACCAGATCTGTGGAGAGCAACAGCTTACAAAGCAGTGGAAGAAAGTTCTAGGACAAGAGTTGTGTTCCTTCTTTGGATGATATTATAGATATTTTAGTATATGTCAAAACCCAGAATGAGCACTTTAACTATGTGCACCTTCTTGTATGCTAATTACAACTGAAAAAAGTTAACTTACAGAAAAAAGTCCTCTTCTTCATCTGAGTCATCTTCCAAAAGATTTCTCTGTCAAAAAAATGAAAAAGATTTGAGTTTTCTGATGCAGAAAAACTACGAAACGTCAGGGAAGAGAAAAGAAACAAGCTCTAGGCTGCTGACATTCTCTAGACCAGCATCCAGGAAGAGAGAAGGGTAAATTGCAGATGCCTCGCTGGCAGCTGGCACCTATGGGACAAGGTCTGCTGACCTTCCAGAGGAAACGCTTTCAGTTCCAGAATCTGTCGCTGGCGTGGCAGTCATGGTAGCCATTCCCCTTCCCTGTATTCTCTCTATGGGCAGCAGGCAACTGTGGAGCTCAATGTACCCCAGAAGGAGTAAGGGGGAGACATCAGAGCTAAGACAAAGGCTCTTCTAGATACTTAGTCCAGAAACAGCCCACTACACGTTAATTTCCAACAAACGTACTTTATAGTTCACATTACCAAAGGAAAAGTCTTCTTTGAAATGAAGATGGTCCACATTCTCCCTAAAAGGAGAACAAGAGGTCCTAAAAGGGGGTAAACTCAAGCAAAATCCAGACCTTCAGACACAAATAATACCTCCCATTTTATAGGCAGAGTAATGGTGTCCCGAAGATGTCTATGTTCCAATAACTGAAACCTGTGACTGTTAACTTCTGAGGTGAGACTTGGCAATGTGATTAAGGAGTCTGAAGGTCTTTTTGAGTATTCATCTGAGTTCCCACCAAGGACAACGGTTCTTCCAAAGAGAAGAGGGAGGCAGAAGGGGTGAGCACTAAGAAGCGGAGACTGAAAGTGGAGTAAGGGTATGAACCAAGAAAGGCAGGCAGCTTCTAGCAGCCTGGAAGAGCAAAGAGCAATTGTTCCCTAAGGAAAACGAAAGAGCAGATTTTTTGGTTCTTTAACTTTCCAATAATTCACGTCTACAGAAATGGGAAACAAAATCACCTATGCATCTTCTCTGAGGACAACTGCTCAAGGAACGAGACCAGCCAAAAAGAAAATCAAATAGAACAAAGTCTTAGGATATAGATGGATGGGATCAAAGAATCTAATCAAATGTACAGCCAAACTGGATGTTTGATGAAGTCTGGGGAGGTGGTTCAGGAGATGAAGGAGTTGCTTCACAAGCACGACACCTGAGTTGCATTTCCAGCATCCATGTAAAAAGCCAAGTGTGACACTATGCATTGACCCAGTGCTCGGGTATGGAACCAGGAGGCTCCTCGGTGCTCTCTGGACAGCAACATCACTACCAGGGTCAGTGAGAGACCTTGTCCCAAAAACTAGGCATAGAGCAACTGAGGAAAAGACCCAATGTTGACTTCACACTCACACACAAAGGTGAGCACACGTGCATTGTGCATATACACCAGACTTACACACACACATGATGATGTGTCACTGTGAACAGTACGTTAATAAAAAGCATCACAAAACAAGTCTTTAGGGTCGAGACTTAAATAAGACGATAACAACAACAAAAATAAAACAAGTCTCTAAGAGAGCTTAAAACTTTCCCACTGAAGCTCAGAGGCTGAGTGTAGGGGTGTGAAGAGAGGAAGTACAAGTATATTAATGTGTTCATCTTGGTGAGGGGTGAAGACAGGAAGGGGAAGGAAAAAGGAAACTAACGAAGGCGAATCATTTTTGGTGCACTGACAACAGAGATTTCAGTATCATTGTTAAAATATTTAGTGATCATTTTAAAAACAGAGGGAAGAAGAAGACAGTGAATAAATTCACTAGAGTACCTTGTAGTACCTGGTCAAGGTAAGAGATGAGATAAAAATAACCAATCTGGTAAAAGTATGAGGGAAATAAAAGATATGCATGTATGTATGATACCCATTTATCTACGTAAAATAATTATAACACACTAAAGAGTAAAAAAAGAAAGGCTATGCTGAATGCTCATTAACAAATACTTGTTAATACTGAGCATTTAATATGTGCTAGGCATTGGTGTAAACACCAAACCTTAGCTGTGACATGGTCTCGGCTCTCAGTGAAGAGACAGAAAGTGACAGGGTGACTACATGAAAGTCCTGAGGCTGTCACAGAAAATCATTCCAGAGAGATAGAATTTAAGCTGAAGTTCAAATAACAACAACCCAGACAAACAGCAGAAACAGGTCACTCACTGCCCATAGGAAAATGGCTGGCACAGAAAAATTCCCATGATATTAACATCATAGCAAGTCAGTGAGCCTACTAAAAACAAAATTATATATGACTAGAGGGCCACAAAATCCAGCCAATACCTATTTGTTTTCAAGAGATTCACCTAAAAGAAACGCCAACTAAAGAATAATGTGGAGCGTGGAGAAAAGATATACTGGTAAGCTCAAAACATAAAGAACCACCTACTAAGAAGACTTAACAACAAAAAAGACTTAACAATGTTCACATATTGATAATATAGTTTGAAATATATAAAACAGCTGGGCAGTGGTGGTGCATGCTTTTAAATCCAGCAGTCAGAAGGCAGAGGCAGGCAGATCTCTCTAAGTTTGAGGCCAGCCTGATTTATAGAGTGAGTTCCAGAACAGACTCCAAAATTACAGAGAAACCCTGTCTCAATAAACAAACAAACATATATAAAGCAAAAATCATACCAAATTACAAGCCCAGTGACTTATATCCTGCTTTGAAGATGACTAGACTAGACATTGAGAGTTTATCTCAGTTGTCCACTGAGAAACACACACAAGGCCAATATTCACTGACCAGATATGTGTGTTAGGTATACAACATAAAAAATTTATAACAGGATACAATAAGATACCATTCTCACCCAGCAGGCAGAGTGTGGGTGTGTTAAGGGTGTACTTACAACTGTTGGAAATTTAAAACCATCAACCCACTTCGGAAAACAAGTCTGATACCTCCCGAAAAGGTTGGGTATTGTTACTACAAAAGCTAGTAATTCTGTTGCTACATATATACCCCCCTAAATGAAAATGGCTCAGCCACTAATGGGTAGGTTCACAACCAAAAATATAATGAAAATATATGTTCAAACAAAATGTGTGTATTAGTATTCATTCAGCAGTATTCAGAACAGCTGAACTATGGGGTATTGTGGGGCAGGCATCCCAAAATGTCCATTAACTAATGGACAGATAACTAGATGTGGTATACACATGACAGAAGATTATTCAGCAATAAAAAGGAACATAAAGGGGCTGGTTAAATGGTGAAGTGGTTAAGAACACTATCTGATCTTTCAGAGAAGCCAGGCTTGATTCCCAGCACCCATATGGTGACTCACAATCACTTGTAACTCCAGTTTCAGAGGGTCTAAAGCCCTCTTCTGGCCTTCTCAGGCACTGCTCACACCGTACACAGACATACATGCAGGCAAAACACCCACATCCATAAAATAAAAAATGGGAAAAAATTTAGAAAATGGAATGTAAAAAATACTACAACACTGACAATTTTGAAAACATTACAAATCAAAGAAGCCAACTACAAGATATATATGATTTCATTTACATAAAAAGCCCAGAATAAGTCAAACGACAAAGGTTAAGTTGTCTGTGGCTGAATGAATTGAAGGGAATGTGGATGACAGGAAAAGAGAACAGGGCTTCCTTCAGGGATACAGATATGCCCTAAAACTGACTGTAACTGTCCAACTCTGAAAATGCCAAAATCCACTCAACTATATACATCTAATTGAAATGGCCATTAACCTGAAAATATTACCTTCATCTTCCACTTTCTTTCTAGGAATTGATCATAAAACATGATAAGTCTGAGATCCCCATTCCAAAAGGTTTCTCTGTACCATACCCAGCCATCTCCAGCAGAAAGGGACATAGAGGGCAAAAAGAAGTGGAGAAACACTTTCTCTTTCTCACCATTTCTCTCTGCTATTAGCTCACACCCTTCTGTCCAATCATATTTCTACAGTCACCCAGGCTTCATCAAACCTCAACATAAAAACAGGCCAATTCACCCTCCGCTTTGGGTGTTCAGTCTATAGGCTCTCATGTCAGGTAAAGTAAAGCCAGGATCAGACAATCTGCCCTACTCTCCTTTGTTAGCCTTCCTTTTGTTGCGGGCATCAGACATGAATCTTCGGGAGAACAGAAGGGTTGCCCCTTTGCTGCTGCATACATTCCACAAGTCCTCCTACCTTCTACAAGGAGTGCACCTTACACTGAATCTCTTTAGAGCCTAAGGTTCTAAACGTACCCTTTCACTTTTCACAGACCCAGTGACATCGTCATCATTTAGGTGGCGCTTGAACTTAGGAGGCATCCTTTCCGCTCACCAGCACTCTTCTGTGTCCCACAGAGGAAGTGTCCGCCACCTGAAGGAGAAAATGAATTTCATCATAGGGGAACCGACCCTGGGACCTGCTCCATTCCACCGACTAGTTTATAGGCTAAGCCTTAGCTTGTGAGAAATAGTTAAAGCCATAACAAAAATGAGTGTTATTCCCCTAAGGAAACATGTAGAGAAAGTGGGTAAGTTTGGGATTTTATAACGTGGAAGAGCAGATGCTGTCAAAGAGGGGGAAAATGGAAATAGTCCCTAGATATCAAACAAGCTTTGCCTTTTCACCGAGTCTGAAAACAGCGGCATGCTTCCAGTCACTGCACTTTTAACTAGCTGCTTAAGCAAGGAGTCGCTTCCTCGTCTGTGAAATATTGACTCTGTAGGAAGTCACATGAGATAAGCCATGCAAAAAACACTCATACACTACGGTGTGTTGGTGCTCCATGAGGGTGACTAATTTTAAGTACTAGGTAACATTGCAGTAATAACAATTCTATATTTATATATATACACACTTATCTATTAACTTACACAGTACACATATACATACACATTCACACAAATATATTTACATATCTGTGTGCAGATATACATGTTCTCTCTCTCTCTGGTCTTCCTCTAGTTTCCTGACATACAGAACCTAAAAGCCCCATACTCATGAGTGATAAATGTGAGATTTTTTTATTCTAACGATATTGACAGATATCTGGCAGTCTATCACAGCTTCAGATGGGAGGCTATTCACTGAAAAAAAACCAAGTCAGGATGAAAAGGTTGGGCTATTTAGTTCACACCACCCCAACCTCTGAAATAGAGAGAGAGCTAAAGTTTGAAGTGATCCCCAATAGCTGCTGTTGTAATTTACTATTTCCACAAATGAAGCTTCCAGAAAAATACAAGGGGTCAGGACCCCAGAGAGCTCTGAGGTATAAACACATGGACTTTTCTAGAGGGTGGGCACCTGGAGGGACCAGGAAAGTTCTGGGCTCCTTTTCCTATGCCTTTCCATTTATACCATCTGATGACATTTACACCCTTCATAATAGCCTTTCTAATAACCTGGCAAACTTCAGTAAACTGTCTCCCTGAGTTCTGTGAGTCATTCTAACAAATTAATTGAAACCAACAAAGCAACTGTGGCCATCTCAAATTATAGCCAACTAGAAGCACAGGTATAACTTGGGGCCTGGCTCCTGAAATCGGGGGCATTTGTGGCTATTTCCAGTAGACTGTGGTAGAAACAAGCTAAGAGGACTTTCAGGGGCTCTCTGCTGGACAGCATCCTGCCAAATGGGTTGTTTTCTGAGGGAAAACGCCCTTTCACATTCTGGGTTCACAGACATTTTCTCAGAGAAAATGGGACTTTTCATATATAAAAACAAGGAAGTTAAACAAAGCTGGTTTTCTTTGCAGCCTTTCATGTTAATATGCACTGTGATTTTTCCAGGAAATACTTGCATATGCAACAGGATCAAAATCTTCTAGAGAAGTAGTTGCTATGCAAAAACAAATTTTCAGTATTGTGGAGCAGATGATAACTGACTAAAAAGTCATTAAAACCCAAGATGTTTAGTATGTGCTGGACACATACATGCATATGCAGTAACACAGGAGCATTTTTAGCATTCAGGGTTTTATCTGCATTTTCTTTTTTATTCTGGAGATGTCTTTGGAGCAACCATTAAGAAAACTCAGTTGGGTAAATACCTAACAATGTCGCTCCACTCAAACAGATCAATAAGTGCCTATGCGTTATCGGTTTTAATATTCATTCATTTAGCTGTCATCATGTTACACAACTCTGTTCTAGAAAGATATACTTTCTTATAACAACCTACCATCTTCTATAAAAAAATACTTGAAGATTGTTGCATTATCCTTAGAAACCAAAATCAAAGTTCTATCAGTAAAATCAGCCTCCTGCCACTTGCTTTCAAAGCACTTGTAACAGTAAATCACTGGTACCCATGCCTGAGTGACAGCTCCAGGGTTCTTTACTCCGTGGTTATTTCTGTTAGATCTATCCAGCCCATCTTATTACTTACATCTTAATTTCAGTATAAATCTCATGCAGAAATATTACAGACTGTCTTGGAAAAAATTGACGAAGAATCGAAGAAAATGGGCTTTTAATTATATCTGGATTTTATATTTTAAACTTCGACAGCACAAAAGAAACAACTCACTATCAAAACAGATACTCCTGATCTTAGCCGACAGAGAAAGAAGTCATCAAATGAACTTACATGACCTTTCTACAAGATACAATAACACTAAGCCTGAATGGGGAGTAAACCCCTTATTCAAGTTCTTAAATCCAAGTTAACAGTTTGAAGAAGGAAGCAAACTCGGCTCACCAGCAAAACAGCAGACAGATAAATGAGTTACTCCTTCTTGACTCACACTAAAGATATTTGCACAGAAAGAAACTATGCTCAGAAATCAGAGCTGACTATATTCTGCGTACAGTTCCTCTACCAAAAATACTTTTGTAGTAAAAGCCATCCCTGATGTCTTTCCATGTTGAGGACAGAACACTACATAGTTCACTGAAATGTCAACAACGCAGGACAATGACGTGTACCTCATCATTCGTTTAAATCTCACGTATATCTTTTGTAGTACGTTCTCTATTTAGTGACTTTACAAGTAATAAACTTCTAACCTGTTGTTTAATCTATGTTGGCTTTTTTACTTTACAAAACACACACACACACACACACACACACACACACACGTTCTGTGTGTTTTGTTTCACAAAATGCTCAAATCTGGGCACAGACTTCCCTTTTTCTTAGCCTCCCTTCCCTTTCTGGTTATTCCTCATTTCTCCTCTCATTAGCAGTCTCGGTGGAAGTTCCACACAAATCGTGATTTGAATGGAATCAAGACAGGAAATCTTACTCGCAAAACCTGTTACGTGTAAGGAAGGGTTCACCTCCACCCTCGGGTCATTCTAAATACAGCGGGGATAGCGCGCTTTCTCCAGCACCCTTAAGGAAGGACCCCAGGCAGCATCCCTGCTGGTCCCTCGGTTCTCTTCTCCGCCGCTGCACCAGGCCCCGCAACCCGACGTCCGCTAGGAACTCCGGCCCCCACTCCCGGTGCAGACGCCCCCTGAAACAGTTTTTTCCGGGGGAGGGCAACTCGATGCCAAAGCTCCCCGGCCGTCCCAGCCGCGCCCCCGTCCTCGCGCCCCTTCCTCACGGCACCCCGCGCCCCCGCCTTCCCCACTCGCGACCGGGTCCCCTGCGCAGGCCAGCTCTCAGCCCCAGCGGACGTTGGGGGCCGGCGGGCAGGGGCGTCGCCTGGCTTCCTTCCTCCCAACGCTTGCCGGGGCGGGATA